GTCAAATATGCACCTAGACTAAGACACAACCCCAACTATGCGTGTATAAAATTTTACCAGTAGAAAAGCAGCATTTTCAAGTGAAACATATACGTGTAAAACATTGCTTTAAATAAATCTTCGGGTCTTTTAAAGTAATTATTCGCCCCTCAGTGGCACAACGGTATGTCTGCGGACTTACAACGCTAGAAACCGGTTTTCGATACCCGTGGTGGGTAGAGTACAGATAGCCCATTGTGTAGCTTTGTGCATAAGGTCAAAACAAACAAAGTAATTATTCTATGAATGTGTGTAATAAAATTTAATATTACGTGTATTATCTTTTTTAACTCCTTCATTTCATACATAATATAGGGGTTGAATCCCTAAGGACACCGATGTTATAGTGTACAAAGCATTGAGTATCTACATGTTACAGTCATATAATATTCATCTATAATTAGCTGGTAATTACGGTTTCACCTTGTACTTAAGCTTTCGAAAAGAACAACAGCTATTTGCAAAATAGCTGACTTCACGGGGTAATGATAACATCGTTTACAATAGAATTATGATGTTTTTAGCTGATGTAAAATATAAAAGAAACTAATAGACTTTTCAATACCACTAAAACCTTCACAGTTCCTTATTTAGTAAGCAACAAAAGGTTTGGGTCCAATATACCAAGCCATTTTTGTTGTAGGCTGGCAAGAGAAGAAGAATTACAAACGGGCCGTTTGGGGTGGATTTTATTTTCCTTGTAAGTCTGAGATGCGTGCTTTTCTGTGCATTTTTATATGTGTACCAGTCTTAGCAGTCAACAGTAAAGACTTTAAAGTGTTGTTTGAACTGAACTTCTACTGTTTAAGATGTTTTTTGTCCGAACGTTCTATTAGGGTTTCGCGCAATGTTTTGCGATCTCTATAATATAATAATAATATATATATATAGATGATGGTAGTTCACCTTGATCAAAGAAACTACGTCCATAAAATAAATATCTCCAGTTTTAACCATAACATAGTCTTCTTATACACTTAAGTAAATATTTTTAAATTTATTCGTCTCCTCCATTGATACTCAATAATATTGTTCCTTAATTGTATTGTTGTTTCTGATTTACGTTATTAGATCTATTGTTATTGGTTTGTTTTTTATTATGCCTGATGATGATGATAAAAGTAAAGAGTTGAAACGTTGCACGGCCATATTTATACGTATATATATTTATATGTAAAGCAACATCATCACATGATGATAGGAATGAGTCACAATGTATTTTGTAACTACCTTTATCAAAATATTAATTAGACAATTAACTACAAAAGCCTAAATTGGCAATGCCACCGTAAACAAGAAAAGATTAATAACAACAAGATAATGAAATAATATGGGTAATGCATCTTTTTCACTCCACGTGCTACAATACTGTTACGTCTCTGGTCGTTAGTTAATTTTCCGTAGAAATTATTTCCGAAAACTTGAGCGATACAAGTCCTTTCTTAAATAAAACTAGTTTATTCTTTCTGAATACAACTTTGCAATACACTTAATTTCCACAGTCACTTTACTTAAACACACGCTATAATTCACAACGATTCACGCACTTTACTTATGGTCACTATCCGCGCTTGACTCAATTGTCCGTCTCTCTCTGCCTGTCTGCAATTCAATTAAGTTATTTTTAAGGTATCTATATTGTTTAATAAATAGGGACTATATATATTTGGTTAGAGACAAGTTATTTTTAAGGTATCTACATTGTTTAATAAATAAGGACTATATATATTTGGTTAGAGACAAGTTATTTTTAAGGTATCTACATTGTTTAATAAATAGGACTATATATATTTGGTTAGAGACAAGTTATTTTTAAGGTATCTACATTGTTTAATAAATAGGGGCTATATATATATATGGTTAGAAACAAGTTATTTTTAAGGTATCTACATTGTTTAATAAATAGGGGCTATATATATTTGGTTATAAACAAGTTATTTTTAAGGTATCTACATTGTTTAATAAATAGGGGCTATATATATTTGGTTATAAACAAGTTATTTTTAAGGT